TGGGTAGGTAGAACGGATTAAACTGAATCGAAAAGTTCTCTACTATTTTGTAACATTCGCAATCGTTAACAAGATATTAATTTTTGAAAATCGGCAAATAAACTTAATATCTCGTTAATAAATGCGAATTTTACAAAATAGTAGAGGACTTTTTTGTCAATTTAATCTACTTATCTTGTCACGCACTTGTACTCAGCGGTGGGCCGGATGAATACGCGTTTATTCGTCAATCTTCAAAAATTAATGTCTCGTTTACGATTGCGAATTTTGCAAAATGGTAGAGGACTTTTCGATTCAGTTTAGTCCGTTCAACCTACCTATGAACGGTGATACACCTATTATGAGACACCCTGTATAAACCGGTGGGGGGCCGATTTTTTTTATTTACTTGAGTTTTAGATGGTTTTGAACTCGGCGGGGCTCCTACACGGAGAGCAGGCACACTACCATGTGTGCCACGGCCCCCACATAAGCTTGTATATAATCCTGAAGAATCACAAGGCATAAAACTAGGTTTAAGACGATTTTAAATTTAAGATTAAATTATAAATACCATCTTTAAACAATTATTAGATATTTATTAGTATGTATATAATCCATTTCGAGCTCAACGAATCGGGACAAAAACATTCATTCCTCTTCTCCCGAAAAATTGAATCTCGATTGCAATCTCGATTTTCAATAAAAATTGTCGCTGTTTATTTGACTTTGTCTAATTGTAAGAAAAAAATTAAATATTAAATTCTAATGCTGGCTCTCTTTTTTTGCTATACACTCACGATTTTCATGATTGACGCGCCGCTTTTTAGTCCAAATCTTGCCAATCGCGTTCGAATATGAAACGCGGTTAGCCAATAACCGCTGATGTCGCTACTTGACTATAAAAGGAAGTAAGAGATGAAGTTGGACGCCGACCGTGGCGACCATCATTATAATCATTATCACTCAGAATCGCACGCGGCTTCTCTTGGCCTGTTCTCCCGGTTTCACGGCGTCGTCACAAGCAACGTGATTTTGTGCCTGCTTTTGTGTCGTGCTGAAATAACAACGACTTCCTCACAATGTCGACGGTAGCGAGTCCCTTGGCCGTTGGAGGCATCCGACAATCGGGAGCGCCGGTGCGAACGCAAAATGGTAGGAGTACCGATCGGCCCACAGAGTTTGGTTATAATCGCGTCCCGTAGCCTTGAAAGCTCCGTGTGTCATCCGTAGGAGTCGGTTTCACTATCTCCGATTAGCTTAATCGGTCAATTACATTTAAGAATCGCCAAATTAAAACTGATCGCATTATTTTGTTTTTCCTTTGTCCATTTTCTGCGAATTATTTATGTGTTAGACCTTGGGCTCGAGTACTACATTCGAGCTTTCATTTAAGATCTTTCAGAAATTTTCAGCACATCAGATTCGTCTGCTGCGATTTTTTAAAAATTACGAAAAATGCGTTTTTTAAGGGTTTCAACTGTTTTTCTCAAAAACGTGATGGACAACTTCTGAGGACAGCATCGTTTTCAGTACCCCAAAATCTGTGGGAAACCACTCCTTTTTCAGGAGACTTTTAACATGTCAATCAGTGTAATTAATAAGTAGGCGTTCCTGAATTTCAAATTTTTTGATCGTCTAGTTTTCTTTAAGTAATTTTCTAAGATAGCAATGAGAAATAGAGTTTCAAGACTTTCAAGTAATTTAATCACGAATAAAATATAAGAATTTTTCGAAAATTATATTCATATGAAAGAATTTAAGAACACTTTAGAATTAAAAAAATATAATGAATAAAAAATGTATTTTTTTCCTGTAAGAAGCATTTATAAATTATTCTATTTAGATTATATATTGTGTGACATAATCTCAATGTCGATTAATCGATATCAAAATAAATTAGCATTTCCTTTGACATTTTCAGTTACCTCTTTTTACCTCTTTTTTAGCTTTGCTTTATATTTTGTTCATTATTTATTATTTAGAGATTATTTAAAATTATTATTTATTATTTAGAAGACGGCCAAGAACACTTTTTTAAAAGATATGAAAAATCACATGAAAGATCTTTACTTTTTTTTTAAATTGAGAACTTTCTTAAAACTAAATGTGATAAATTTTGATAAATAATCTGAAAGTAATGTTTTCTAAGGAGTTTAAATAAATTTGGTATATTATGTAAAAAATTAATTATGTATAAATAATGAATAAACTATTTATGCCTGTATTTATATATCTCTTTCAATGATGAATTTTTATAAATATTTTATTAATATATAATCATTGAATTTGTATATAATTATAATTTAATATATAAGTTACGTGTAAATATGCGAAATAAATATTTGTCTCTTTCAGTTATGGCTGCCTGTGCTATCGCTAACATAGTTAAAAGTTCTCTGGGTCCGGTTGGATTGGATAAAATGCTGGTCGATGACATTGGTGTATGTAACTTTTATATCTTTTAAAAAATATTCAACGTAAAGGAACAAAAGATATTATAATTACAATGTTTTCAGGACGTCACTGTTACTAATGATGGTGCAACTATCTTACGCTTGTTAGAAGTTGAACATCCAGCCGCGCGAGTTCTAGTTGAATTAGCTCAGTTACAAGATGAGGAGGTTGGCGATGGTACTACTTCAGTGGTAAATGATTCATTTAGATTTATATCATTTAATAAAATTTACAATTAAAAATAAATTTAATAAAATATTCTTTTAAAGGTCATAGTAGCAGCTGAGCTTTTGAAAAATGCGGACGAGCTTGTGAAGCAAAAGATACATCCAACTTCAGTCATTAGTGGCTACAGACTTGCTTGCAAGTAAATACTCAACAATCCACTTTATTTTTTACATGAAGTCAATTGATTGGATGCTAATTCATCCAATAATTAGCTAAATTATTAATGAATGAAAGCGTATTTATCAAGTCAGAGAAAAGGGAATTTTACTTTATACGATTTTCACATGAAATCAATTTCAGAGAAGCATGCAAATACATTCAAGAACATCTTACCGTCAGTGTGGATGAACTCGGAAGGGATTGCTTAGTTAATGTTGCAAAAACATCTATGTCAAGCAAAATTATTGGAGCGTATCCTTTTGATATTACATATCAATTTTCATTTGCAGTTATCGATATTTCGTAGAAGCAATATGATTATTTAAAAATATTTTCCATGACCAATAATTAGTGATGCCAATTTCTTTGGCAATATGGTAGTCGACGCCGCCAACGCGATAAAAATCAGCGACGGCAAAGGAGGATTTTTGTATCCTGTTAAAGCGGTCAATGTCCTGAAGGCGCATGGAAAAAGTGTTCGAGAGTCGGCCTTGATTCAAGGATATGCTCTGAATTGCACCGTCGCCTCTCAAGCAATGCCGAAGAGGATAGCAAACGCGAAAATCGCATGTCTAGACTTCTCTTTGCAGAAAGCAAAGATGAAGTTGGGCGTCGAAGTACTTATTACAGATCCGGAGAAACTCGAAGCTGTTCGCCAACGCGAGGCCGATATTACCAAGGAGCGCATTCAGAAGATTCTTGCTGCCGGAACCAATGTCGTTCTTTTATCAGGCGGCATTGACGATTTATGCTTAAAGGTACATTTCGAGCGATGAATTCTAGGAAGTGAGCGCGATTCAAGATGAGTGTATTCATCTTGATCTTTTCACAGTATTTCGTGGAGACTAAGACCATGGCGGTGCGCAGATGCAAGAAAGCTGATCTGAAAAGAATTGCTAAAGCTACAGGCGCGCAGTTTCTAACTTCGCTGACCAACATGGAAGGAGAGGAGAGTTTCGATGCCAGTTTCTTGGGGGAGGCTGCTGAAGTAGTTCAGGAGATGATTTGCGACGACGAGCTTATTTTGATCAAGGGGTACATATTTTTAATAAGATATCTATTAATAGGATTTCAATGAGCAAAACTCCGTGAAAAGTTGTTATATCAGTTATTCGCTGTCTCATATATATTTACCGGGATATATTTCTATGATGAGGATTCTCTACAAAATGCAATTAATCCCATAGTTCCACAGTCGACGTTCAAGCCTTAATCTCTCTCAATTTAAATTTCGTAGTATTAATTTTTTCAGGGAATGAGTTACTAGTCCATTTTCCAACTTCTAGCCATTTATCCAAAGGATTTACTTTACATACGTTATAAATTAAAAATTCGTATATAGGATGAGGGGAATTGAACCCGAAATCCGTTAATTATGAGTCCGCTATTTCCACACGAAGCCACACGAGATCCCACATAACATAATTGATATTATGAAAAATAACAGTAAAAGCACGATTTTGGTTACGTTCCGTTTTATCCCTCACGTGCTGCAAGCGTTGATTTGTTCTTGTTTAACATTAAACAATATACAACAAATAAGGACAAAATTAAGGCGCTGTAAGCGCCAAAAGCGTGAATATGAAAAGCAGCCTTCATTTAACTATTTTTTTTTTATTTTAAGACCTAAGGCACGCACAGCGAGTTCTATTATATTACGCGGACCAAACGATTATTACTGCGACGAAATGGAACGCTCCATACATGATGCGCTATGCGTTGTCAAGAGAGTCTTGGAAAGCAAAAGCGTCGTCGCGGGAGGAGGTTGCGTGGAGGCTGCACTCTCAATATATCTAGAAAACTTTGCGACATCATTGGTATCATTGAATTCTGCATAATTTTTATCAGTTTCTTTTCCTTTCATAAGATATTTACACATTCTTATATTACAGAGCTCCCGAGAACAATTGGCTATAGCGGAATTCGCTCGATCTTTATTAATTATACCAAAAACATTGGCCGTAAACGCTGCACAGGATGCAACCGATCTTGTCGCCAAGCTCCGAGCCTATCACAATTCCAGTATAACAAAACCAGATCTTGTTGACTTGAAGTGGTAAGTTTCCACTTGCTATCTTTTTTTAGTTTATCATATAAAATGAAAAGATTAAAATAAATTTATATTTTTGCAGGGTGGGTCTTGATTTACTCGTGGGAAATATAAGGGATAACAAAAAAGCAGGCGTGTTGGAACCAGCTATTTCAAAAATTAAATCTTTGAAATTTGCCACTGAAGCAGCTATAACTATCCTCCGAATTGATGATATGATTAAACTGGATCCCGAACGTTCGAAAACTAAATCTTATCAAGACGCCATGGAAGCCGGTGAATTGGAAGATTAATATCAAAATGCATTTACCTATTATGTTTGAATACAATGCGTTTATACGAGAAAAATGTAAAGGAATTTGTAAATGTTTCACTGCGCATACAAATATCACGCGATAATAAACAGATTAATTTACAACTTGCTGCTTATATATTGTATTTAAGTCTGCATATGCATAAAAAATACTGCTAGAACCTAAAATAAAATTGTTTCACAAAATATAATGTTATACTTATTTGGTTGTATTAATACCACAACAGAATACGGCATCTAAAATTATGAGAAAAAAAATAAAGAAAAAAAATATGTAGAACATATATTTAATTTTGTATTTATTACTAAAAACTAAGAGTAACTTTTACATTTTTTTTATTTATATGAATAAACTTTTATGTTTAAGGAAATTTTGTAGTTAATGTAATAATCATGTAGTATTTACAGTATATCGAAAATGTATTTTATACTGTGTATACTAATTGTACCGATCTTAACCAAATGTTTGTGTAATTATTTATGAGAATATGTGACTTAAATCATATATACGTATTACGTACGCATATCATAAATTCCTCATTTCAAAAATAATATATAAAATAAAATAATATATAAATATATATAATAATATATACTATTATTTGTATAATATATACTATTATATAAATAATTAATATTAAATGTGTATATGTGTGTGTATGTGAGTTACTTGTCACAAAATTGTTTATTAACATACAAATCTCACAAGCAATAAAAAAAATTAATATATTGTCATAGAATATTAAAGTAATAAATTTTAAATTTAGCTGACATTTTTTCGTAGCATCACACATGTAAAGGAAAAAAGTGATAAAAAAGCGTTTCTAATTTAATAAATTATTATCTAATATATATTATCTAATATAACAGTTCATTAATGGAAAATAATAGAGAATAACAGTTTTAAGTATTATATGATATGTATGTTCAGTAGATTCAATATCGTTTATAAATAATGTTACGTATAAACGATATTTATTTTTTCAATAACCATGATTCGTTAAGTAGATGTTATTTACAGTATATTTGTTACATCATGCCAGTCAATTGATTTTAAACTTAATGACACATTACTAAATCATTTCTTACAATTATACTTTAACGATTGTTGTTTTAATTATTTACAATGTAAATTATGATCTTACTGCAAAATTTTAATGACGAACATTTAATTTGTTAAATTATATTGTTGTTTGTAACATTCTTGTATATTGTGAGATAAACATACAAGTACAACAATAAATTAGTAAATAATCTTTGATAATATAGTACACACTATTTTCTTTTTGAAAATAGTTACTATTATAATCAAATTTTATTGACTTCTTTTTATTCATTCAATAGTTACATTCGTATTAATTTTTAATTAAATATTTAAAGAAAGATATGATAACAGATTTTTTGCGATATTAATAAGATTTGAATCAATAAACATAAAGCATTATAAAAAAATTTACAAATTCCGTTTAACTTTTTGTGTTTTTACTATTTTTATGCAGAGTGTAGAAAATATATTCCTTTTTCCTGACAATAATACATAAAATTATTATTCACAAATAGTTAAGGTCTTCCATTAATAACTGTTTACATTACAAATAAATGTGTATATAAGTATTATAAATAAATTTCCAAATCAGTTCCTGAATATTATAAATTCAAAAATCTAGAAACATCTAACTGTATTAATATTTTATTATATATTTTCAAATAAAATTTGATATTTTATATTAAAATTTATTTAGTGTCAAGAGTATACCTGTAGTTTTGGACCTTTTTGCAATGTAGATTTAAGTTATTGATGATACACATGATGTAGAATATTTTTTAATATTACTATTTACTATATTTATATACAAACCCTGTTTGGATTGATAAATAATGCAAGCCAATCAATTTTTAAAGGAATAACAAATTTAACATGATTAACCAAAATTTATTTAAGTGGCAAGCGGTCAATATGGTAAATGATGCATGTGTCTATATAAAAAAAAAAGAATGCAATGCGATTAAAGTGATTACACAATTACTCATTATGCATCTTTCCAAGACAGGGAAACAAAAAAAGAAATTAGATATTTTCTCATTTCTCACAAGCCTGTGCTTAAAATCAACGCATCTTTTCAATATCCTAATTTAGGATTTATTTATGAAAAAATGTAAATGTTATTTTGATATTGTACGGGTAAAGATACATGCCTCGTCATTGATACGCGAAGTTTTATAATTGAGAGCATTAAACCTTTACAACGCAGGGTTCTCGAATTTTGGTCCTTTTGTGACTATAATCTCAGCGTATGAATATTCTTGATTGAGTTCTAATACTTGGAACTTTTTCAGGACTAACAGTGTATAAAACTTTTGTGCAACCTGCAAAAACAGAATTGTTATTTTTATTAATATAAAAATCTTGTGGGGAGAGAGAGAGAGAGAGAGAAATATATTATAGTTTTTCAAAATACCAACCTGTTTGCGATTATTTTTGTATGCCATCTCTGATAGTGTTAATTTATCTTTGGTATCTAATTTGCTTTTAATAACATGATACATATGTGCTGCTCTTTTGTTAAGAACGCGTTCTTCAAACTGCTCATAAGTTTCATCCATTTGTTGCTCCTCTTGCTGAAAAATGTAAAATAAGAATGTAATCAATTAACAGTTCTTTATATATAGTTTTCTTTAAATCATCCACTCACAATTTTAATAAAATTAATATATATGAAATAAAAACTTCGTCATTTATACAAGTGTACAATAAAAATAATTTTATGATTAATATTAAGTATATTACCGGTCCCACAGATGGCGGAAATTCGTAATCCTCATGGTTCCACGGTGTGGCAGGTCCTCTTTCCGAAATCGCACCAGGCGTATGTGCTGGAGGATGTTGTTCGTCATAGCCCATGTATGAAACATGTGGCTGTGCCTGTTGAAATTATGCAGCATTGATAAAAGTTTCTACATTAAATATACAAACATTCTCTAGATTCAATGTACAAGGAAGCAATTGTTATGCAATGACACACGGCCAAAAGAAGACAAGCACAGGTACATTAAGGTAAACGTACCAATGACTGAACTCATGTATCTATATCTAAACACGTATACAAAATTTATTAATCTCAAAAGCGTTTTTTTTTATATCAAAATTTAATTGTAAAAATATTTAAAGATTACAATTAAATTATAATATTATGAGAAAAAGCATTTAAAAATAAGTTTTTGTGTATGTATTTATCAGAAAGTGAAAGTTTCTCAACACTCACTTGGTCATAACCCATATTCTCCATCTGCGGCATATCAGATGTTTGTACAGTAGCGGCTTCTTCCTGTGCCGATGGTACTTGCGGTTCTTCATGTGTACCGAGTATCGAGTTAACTTCAGCTGGTGCGATCTGCGGTATTTCCGAACCGAGCAAAGGCGCTTCGGTGGTTGGCGGTACCTCTGACAATTCTCCAGAAGGCACAATGCTGCTTATGTCGGATGGTTCTGCTGGTAAAGAGATCTCAGGTGGCATAGACGATTCTGAAGAAAGATTATGTTGTGCAATTATGTTTGGAATTTCCGCTTCATTCGATTGGAACTCTGCTGAAGTTGGCTGAGCTGGCTGAGGAGGTGGCCTTATCTAAACATAATAACGATATTGATATTAATTATAAATATTCCATCAAAATTCTGACAACTATTACGTTCCTTAAAGAAAAAAAGCCTTTTTCTTCCCTTTTATCATTTTTATAACTAACCTCATCATCCTGCGGTGCTTTCCGTTTTCGTCCTGTACGCTTATTGAGGATACTTTGTTCGAAAGAGGACACCTCTTCTGGAGCATCTCTGATTTGTTCTAAAGACATTCCATCTTCCTCAGTTCCAAGTCGCCCGAAGTCTTCGTGATCGTAAGACTTGCTGGTCAGATGTCTTTGATAGTTCTGTTTAATAATAATTAAGATGTGAAATGCTTCCATTATACAAGTTTTCAGTGTTAGTTATTCAGACAATTGTATAATGTAAAATATTATTACTTTAAATAGAACACGAGCCGGGATAGGTCTTCCTGGTAGAGCAAAGAGCTTCTCTACGCCACCTGTCTCCTTCCAGTGCATCAATCTTTTCGTAGGTGGTGCCAAGTCCAACGTCGTGATAATATCGCTAGTGTCAGATAGCTGTGCTTTCATTTCCTCACCAGAAATATTTTTTACTTCATCGACAATGAGTTTACGCTTGCGTTTGGCTTTTGTGAACCCTAGGAAAGCCGATGACTTTTTGTTAGTTACAAGAAACAAATTTTTATGCATTAAATTTAGAATAAAAAAAAGATATGTTACCTTTCAAAGCAGATGCATCAATTGGAGCTAGCGCGAAGCTTTCTTCCTCATCGTGCAATAATGTGGTTTGATCTTGTAAAGGTGGTGGTTCTTCTACATTGTCATTGGCATGTTCTTCTGGTATAACCGGTGGAGCTGGTGTAAAACGTCGACTGGCAACACTAATTCTTCCTTCAATTTCCTCTCCCGCTGCAGCTGGTGTAGCTGGCCTAGAGCTGTCAGAGCTGTAAATAATGTTTTCAATATTGTGTTAATATTAATTGTTAATTATTTTATTAATATATTAATTATAATTAATTACTAATATCAGTTTCATACAGCAAGTACACAAAGAACGAGAGCAATATTAAACCAAGAAAGAAAAATTAAGCAATAAAGATCAAAATAGCTAACCAGTCTAGCCAATAAATATTTTTATTGACATTGAACAAATTTTGATCCAAGATTGGAATGTTTGTTTATTGTAAATAAAGTGCAGTTAGAAAGATCAATTAGAATATTTATTAAATATTTGTTTGCATCCTGTCATTGTCAACCGCGCTTTGGCTATAGCATAATTTTTCCTTTTTAATGGTATAATTCAAAATCTTACAATAAAATCTTTTAAGAATGATAAATACCTCATGCCTCCCATTGGAGAGGCTGGACCACCAAAATGATCACCCATATCCTCGTCGGATTCATCGTGCACGGAAGCAGCAGCTCCAGGAGCTGCGCCTGCTTCCTGTTGCTCATTTATCGAACTAACCTCAGGTACAGGTACTTCACCCATTGGAGCTTCATCAAATAAACCACCTTCGAAGAGACCTCCCGCTAAAACACATAACAATTATAACAATAATATCAACCATTATACTGTTCGATGTAATTATAAAAATTAATTGCTTTTATCATACATATAATATCTTGGCCAAGATGACCACCAAAACCATCGTCTCTGATGGGTGTATCTATGTCCATCGGTTGTGTTGTAGCTGATGTTCCTGCAACTGGCTCTTTTTCTTTCTGTTCTAATGCTGTCTCTATTCCTGGACCATCGCTGAACAACATGTGACTCTGAAATTAAATTGGAGCAATTAATATGTTATGTTACTATTCTCTTAAAAATTTAATAAAAATTTATTTGTTTAAATTCCATTTATTTAAAAGAAATTTTTAGAAAATTTTAATAAAAATTCGTCCATGTTACATACACAAATACATATAAATGATGAATAAAACTGTGTTTCCATTTTATGAATATTTTTACAAGAACTTTTACATATTTTTTATAATATATTTACACAAAAAAGCATTCAACATTTATATGGTAGTACACATCATATTGAATAAAAAAAGCCTTGGATATTAAATGAGAACATTCAGAATAAGATTGGGAAACATCAAAGTAATAAATCTTCATGTTACATGCGACGTGTAGAAGCCAACAAATCAATTGATATTATATTCAAGTACAAAATAAATATTAAAGTCAGTTATGATATTGAAATACAAAATTGTTCAATCTCAACTACAATTGAGTTTTTGATTCATGTTTACTAAAGTTTTTTTACTCAATATGGTGTGTATTATCTACTATCATAAATGCTGAATGCTTTGTTTATGAGCATTCTGTACATTCATAGACTGCCTAATATTTATATTACTCTAAAATGTATGAGTATTGCAAAAATTTACACATTTATTCAATTTTATTCATTATTACTGTGTAATAATCAAAGGTATTAAATAGACATGTGAATACCTGATCCAATGAAGGTTCCATGCCACTGCCATGTCGTAGCAACTCTGGTGGCTCAGCGTCAAAACTCATGTCACCAAAGCCTTGATCATGTGTAACCAAAGATAAACTGCCATAATCTTCCCTCATTGTTATTTCTTCTGCTCTGGATTGATTCAAACTAAATTGAGCTTCGATGTCGACATCTCTGAAAAGAAAATTTATATTTATCAAATATTTAAAAAATACTACTATATATATATGGTTTTTAAACAAAAGTTCAATAGTCTTACTTGAGTTCAGGCATAGCAGTATCGAAATCATGAAACACTTCTGGCAAAGTGATAGCTGTTACAGCTGCCTCCCTGTGTTCTTCAGGCAGATCTACCATCCCAGGCCTGAAGGCCATTTTGATCTTCACAAAAGCCTCATTGCAATCAGCCAGTAAATACTTTGCTTTCCTTGAATAGATTCGTACTACTCCCAGTAACAAGTGACCGGATGTTCTCAAAGCCATTTTAACCTATTACAAATATCATAAATAAAATGTAACAACATATCGGGAAATATTTGACAAGTCTCGCTGGTCGCCAAGTTCGATGTTTACCTTCGGTTGTAATATACCGTCCACTGATTTTTCTATATTTGTCTCAAACACATGCGCCTTCGTTAATTTCTTGTCCCAATGGGCGGCCAACCATATACGGGCCAAGGGCCCTTTTTTGGCCAACACAAAATGCGCGTAAAACATGATTTTTGTATCTGTCTAGCACTGATCTGTAAGAAGATGGAATCGATAAGTCAATTAGATCAGACTTTAAGTTCAGGCGCGAGAGAAGCGCAGAGTTAGAAAGAAGGAAACATTTAAACGCCATCAAATGCCCAAACCTAAACGCATCAATGAGACATTTCTCACTGACAGTAAAACAGTACGTTCGGTATGAGGAGATACGAGGGAATTCAGTATTAGACTCGCGATCAACATTGCAACTGGCAACGCGATCTAAACCATAAAAACACATACGAAAAAGTCAACAATGAACGTTGCACGATTTACGAAAATATAAACATCAATGCACAAGATGGCGTTTCCATCTACGGTTTTGGCGGTTACGGGGTACCGTCGAACACCTGACACCAATTCCCCGCTGTGATACGCACGGCGACTCACCGGAATACCGTCCCGTCGTTAGGCCGCGCAGAGCCGTAACATATTTCGCACAGAAAATATCGCGGCCGCGAAAATCTCTCAGATCATCGGCGCATACGGTACGTACGCTCTCTCTCTCGTCCGTCCCGACGCGTACGTCGCGTACCCGAAACTCAACGCGATTACGCGCGATCACTCGCATCAACGCCACCAACGCTACCAACGCCACCTACCTTGCAACAGTGATTCACCGTTACTCTGACCGTATCCGGAAACACAGTTGCAGCCAAGGTACAGAGGAGCCAGCTAAGAATGCGTGAGCACATAAAAAGAGACAGAAAACGGGACGCCCATCTGCATCTTTGTTCAATCGCGCATGCGCAGTTGGTTTTCACGGTTGAGTGGGGAGATCTCTTTGAGGAGAGATGAGGAAAAGAAAGCAAATATTTGTATTAATAACAATATACATT